CTTATCCTTGCAAGCCTTTGGTTATATATTTCCTTTCCTCCGGACATGTTTTCCCAATATTTTTGGTTATATGTCCTTTCCTCCGGACATATGTTTCTTGATATCCTTGGTTATACGCCATTTCCTCTGGACGAATATTCCTGATATCCTTGGTTAGAGTCCTTTTCTCCTGTCTCTTTCCTTATTGTGTATCCGATACCGACCACGGATATGTATTTATTTTGTATACCTGTTTCATATGTCAACTACCAATCCCAGACATGTGTTCTTAATATCTTTGTAAGAGCTTTCTTCGGTTTGTCTCTTTCTTACGTATCCGATACCGACCACAGATATGTATTTTTTATACCTATTTCATATGTCTTCTACCAACCCCAGACATGTGTTCTTAATATCTTTGTAAGAGCTTTCTTCGGTCTGTCTCTTTCTTACGTATCTGATACCGACCACGGATGTGTATTTTTGATACATGTTTCATATGTCTGCTACCAATCCCAGACATGTGTTCTTGATATCTTTGTGAGAGCTTTCTTCGGTCTATCTCTTTCTTGCATATCCGATACCGACCATGGATATGTATTTTTGATACATGTTTCATATGTTTGCTACCAACCCCAGACATGTGTTCTTAATATCTTTGTAAGAGCTTTCTTCGGTCTGTCTCTTTCTTACGTATCCGATACCGACCACGGATATGTATTTTTATACCTGTTTCATATGTATGCTTCCAATCCCAGACATGTGTTCTTGATATCCTTGTGAGAGGTTTCTTCGGTCTGTCTCTTTCTTACATATCTGATACCGACCACGGATATGTATTTTTGATACCTGTTTCATATGTCTGCTACCAATCCCAGACATGTGTTCTTGATATCTTTGTAAGAGCTTTCTTCAGTCTGTCTCTTTCTTACGTATCCGATACCAACCACAGATATGTATTTTTTATACCTATTTCATATGTCTGCTACCAATCCCAGACATATGTTCTTGATATATTTGTAAGAGCTTTCTTCGGTCTGTCTCTTTCTTACGTATCCGATACCATCCACGAATATGTATTTTTGATGTCTCTTTCGTGCGTATCCAATATCGACCACGGATATGTATTTTTGATGTCTCTTTCATGCGTATCCGATATCGACCACGGATATGTATTTTTGATGTCTCTTTCGTGTGTATCCGATATCGACCACGAATATGTATTTTTGATGTCTCTTTCTTACTTATCCGATACCGACCACGGATATGTATTTTTGGTACCTGTTTTATATGTTTGCTACCAATCCCAGACACGTGTTCTTTATATCTTTGTGAGAGCTTTCTTCGGTCTGTCTCTTTCGTGCGTATCCGATACCGACCACGGATATGTATTTTTGATACTTGTTCCATATGTCTGCTACCAATCCCAAACATGTGTTCTTGATATTTTTGTAAGAGCTTTCTTCAGTCTGTCTCTTTCTTACGTATCCGATATCGACCACGGATATGTATTTTTGATGTCTCTTTCGTGCGTATCCGATACCGACCACGGATATGTATTTTTGATGTCTCTTTCTTACGTATCCGATACAGAGCACGGATATGTATTTTTGATACCTGTTTCATATGTGTTCTACCAATCCCAGACATGTGTTCTTGATATCTTTGTGAGAGCTTTCTTCGGTCTGTCTCTTTCGTGCGTATCTGATACCGACCACGGATATGTATTTTTGATACTTATTCCATATGATTGCTACCAATCCCAGACATGTGTTCTTGATATCTTTGTAAGAGCTTTCTTCGGTCCGTCTCTTTCTTACGTATCCGATACTGACCACGGATATGTATTTTTTATGTCTCTTTCGTGCATATCTGATATCGACCACGGATATGTATTTTTGATATCTCTTTCGTGCGTATCCGATACCGACCACGGATATGTATTTTTGATACTTGTTTCATATGTCTGCTACCAATCCCATACATGTGTTCTTGATATCTTTGTAAGAGCTTTCTTCGGTCTGTCTCTTTCGTGTGTATCCGCTACCAACCCCGGATATGTATTTTCGATACTTGTTTCATATGTCTGCTACCAACCCCAGACATGTGTTTTTGATATCTCTTATGTCTCTTTTGTGCGTATTTGATACCGACCACGAATATGTATTTTTGATGCATTTTCCATATGTCTGCTACAAACCCCAGACATGTGTTCTTGATATCTCTGATGTCTCTTTTGTGTGTATCCGATACCGACCATGGATATGTATTTTTTATTCCTTTTCCATATGTCTGCTACCAACCCCAGAAATATGTTCTTAATATCTCTAATGTCTCTTTTATACATATCCGCTACCAACCCCGGATATGTATCTTTTGTCTCTTTTATGCGTATCCTCTACTAACCCCGGATATGTATCTTTTTTGTCTCTTTCATGTGTATCCTCTACCAATCCCGGATATGTATCTTTTCTATCTCTTTCGTGCGTATCTGCTACCAACCTCGGATATGTATCTTTGATATCTCTTGCATACGTATCCGCTACCGACCCCGGATATGTATCTTTGATACCTTTTTTTCATATGTCTGCTATAGACTTCAAGCATATACCTTTTGACATCTTTCTTACAGGTGTTTGTTATTAAATCCCAACAAGTGTTCTTTAATAACCAAGTTCTACTTCTGTGTGTCTAACTCTGGTTAAACATACATCTAACCCTGATAACATCTTTAAAAGCAAAAAATATATAAATAAAAAATAAAGAAAACCAAAAATATAATGTATACCTGACTGGCTTCGGAGTGCAAATTTTCGGGTTCTTTTAGTATTTAATCTTCTTCCATCCTGAAAGTTTAAAAGGTTGACGCCAATCTCACCTTCAGGTTGAAGGCGATTAAATAGGGGAAGGTGTTGCACCCCAAAATTTTCCCTCCTAATTTCTTCTATCTGGCTTAGACTCTTGCATTCATCTGTATATATTCCATTAGGTCATTAACATACATTTGCATTCAATAAAGCGCTTAAGGTTCAAAGTTCAGTGGTTGTGCGATATTAGGGTTTCGTAATGGTTAAGGTGTTCATATCCAATAAAGCCTGATTCTTATGATTATCCTTCAAGCAGTGGAATGTGGAATTAGGATTGCAACCTATGCTTATTGAGGGTTCTGTTATCTTCAAGTTAAGGGGGTTATTACTCATTCAGATTCATTCAAGACAAGAGTCAGAGTTTTTCTCCACCAGTTTTTGCTTGTCAGCATTTCATCAACCAAGGTTCATTAGGTTTTTAAGTCATGGCCATCTTGGTCATATTTATTTCTGTATTCCTATGTTCATTTCCAAGTTATTATACAAGGTCATCTAAGGGCTACTAGATCAGACATTCATTATCACATTGTGTTCAACATCATCCTTTGATTAGAGTTTATTTCTCTAAATCATGTACCATTCAAGAGAGGTTTCTCTGTGAAGTTGTGATTATCAGGCAAGGCTATCATCAGGGGATGTCGTCCATGAATAACCAGGGTTTCAATTGATATATATTTGGAAAAGAAGAAGGAAATCATTGCTTGAATCTCTAGTCATGTGGGAAACAACTCTATTCTAGAAAATAAGATTCAGTTGGACCTTCTTCACGAATTAGGGCTTGTATGCCTTATAATGCAAAGCTCTTCATCTGGTCGATTGGCTTACTTGCGATATAATCTATTTTCTTCGGATTTCATTTCAATTATTTGAGATCAAAATCTAAAAGCTTTGTGTGGAAGATTAGGATTTATATCCTATCGTACTTGGATTTATCAACATCTTCAATGGAGATTCGTGGGATGATAAGGCGTGATATAAGGATGGCATTGTAAATTCATTAAGATCAAGGCAGTTTGGTTCTCTAATTGTTTGTTATACAAGATTGATGGGGATCAATGTGTTGGATCCATTCTCTCACGAAGGACAGAGGGTGATGTTAGGGACCATTTTGTTCATGGTCATCAATTGAAGATTGGGTTCGCTTCATGACTTATGATATAAGTCATTTGCTTTAGGGTTCATTCAAAAAAGTGGAATTCTAATCACGGAGTTTGCTTTGGATTATTTCAAGAGAAATATCATGTGAATTCAAGTTTTGTTCAAGAATTGGATTAAAGTTCATTTACCAAGCATGCAAGGTTAGAAAAGGATTCATGTGGGTTTTCTTGAGAAACAAGTTATTTGGAATTTAGACCAAATATCAAGTTCATGCATGTACAAGGGGATTCAAGAATTATTCAAGGCTATTTCAAATTTCAAGATTGCAAATCCAAATTTCATTCACCATTCAAGTGACCATAATGCAAAATCACAAGTTTCAATTGGTTCAAGATTCAAATTTCCAAGTTCAAATTCCAAGTTTGATATTCATTATTCAAGTTTTACAATGCCTAAGCATCATACAAAAACCATACATCCAATTTACCAAAAAAAACATGATTAGCTTGTCTAAGCATCATACAAAAATACTACACAAATTTTTTGGTCTTAAACCTAAAAATCTAAACAGCCTAACATCTTCATGTTTCCATGTTCATGCCAAGTAACCATCTTCAAAATCCTCTTTCACTTAGCCCAAGCTACAAACTGTTTTTCCTCGGTATTTCTTCAGGCCATCTTCAATCTCTCATGCCATCTTCTTGAATTTTCCTTGAACTCCAATTCTAAGCCTTCTTCTAATTGTAAGCTATACCCTGTCAATTAACCAAGCAACTTTGCATAACAATAATTCACTTGCAGACAAACTGGTTTCCAAACCAAAGTGGTTAAATTGGTTCACCTGTTTCAATCTATGGCAAAAATAATCCAATTGTACCTATGCCATTATAAACCTGCAGAATTTCTGAATTCCAAAAAAAAACACAATTAACAGCCAAGGAAACAGATACATTGCTCCTCAAAACCCTTTTTCTAAGGAGGTAACTAAGAGGGTGGACACAGGGTCCGGCATATGGAAAGGTTGGAATTGGAGGTCTGAGGGAGACCTTTTGCTAAATGGAGCCTTTTTCATTCCATCAGGAGCAGAAGCTGGAGCAAGCTATGCTAGAGACTCAAGTTTGGGGGCCAAATCCTCTTCTTTGGTAGGCTCTTTAACCTCAAGTGCTGGTGTTACTAGCAGCTGCAGGTGGTGGAAGTGTTATTGGACTGTCATATTTTCTTTCAGAACTTTTGATAATCAGGTATGGGTCTGATAGAGTTCTCAATCAACTACTGGTCATACCCATCGCTACCACGGCAGGACTAGGTGGGAGTATCATAGACTCTCTATTTGGTGCAACGTTACAATTTAGTGGATTCTGCTCAATTCTCCAGAAGGTTGTTGGGAAGCCAGGACCAACTGATAAAAAGATTTCAGGTCTCAGCAATCTTGACAACAATGCAGTGAACTTTGTGTTGACCATGATTTTAACTTCAATAGCTTGTTTGTACATATTTTAGTTTCATCAAACAGAACTACCCTGCTGCATCAAACACCAGCCAGTTATAAGTTTGTTTCAAGCTAATCCTGCACAACATTCACGAAAAAAAACCAAAAACTAACAGAAATCTCAAACAGAATTTCTAATTTCCCAACATTTAACAAACTAACAAATATCTAACAGAATTTCCAACTTCCCAACTACCTAACCAATCTCTAACTAACTCCCAACAGTTTCAATTTCCAAACTCCTTCTAACCACTTTTTCCAGCTAGCAAAACAGAATTGTAACAGAAATTTCCAACTAACTCTTTACTTCCCAACAGCTAACCAAATCTCCATAACAGAATGACCAACCCTGCTTAACCAACTCCTAACAAACTTCTAACAGAATCGGAAATAGAAGATAAGGGGAGGAATCAGAGCATAGGATATATACCAGAAAGGTCAGAGGAAAATAAGTAGTAGAAAAACTAACCATAAGATCTTCTTTTTCTCTCTGAATCAGGAGGTGATTCATCATCACCATTATCAATCTTCATCTTTGTAACCAACGCATCACCTTCATATTTCAATACATTCACTCTCCATCTGCACCAGTCTCCATCAACCTGCTTCGATCTTCAACACCTCCCTCTCATTATTCACGATTCAGAATTCTTACAAAAATAGAAAAAAGGTTTCAATAGAAAATTCCTCTACAGCTTCTTCAATGATTTTGGAAGAATCACAAAAATTCAATATTTACAGTCAGAAGAATTAGAAAGAACTCACCTCAATTTCTCTGCAAAATCATCTTTAATTCATCTTTCTATGAACCCTCTTCAATCAACAACATCATAACCTTCAACGGTTCGAATCACAACTCATCACAATATCAACAATGCATCGATTGAACTGCAGTTTCTGAATCTTCAACCAGCATCATCATCGTAGCAATATCAGCTTCACGAATCCAACAAAATTATTCGCATCATCTCTAACACAACAAATACACAGAGTCAAGAAGATTATTCGCAGAAGAAATAGAAGAAGAAGAAGAAGAAAAGAGGAACCTAAAAGCGAAACATACATCTTCTTCTCTCTTGGATCGATTCCGCCTCTCTTTTTTTCCAATGAAGCCGCGATGGAGATCGTGAAAATGAATGGACGAAGATGAGTTCGAATTGGAGGGGATAAATCACAACAGAATAAATGCGAAGAGAATCAAACGGCGATGTTTGGGGCGAGACGGAGGCTGAGAAGTGAAGATGATAGTGACGAACGAGAAGGCTGAGCGATCAATTGTAAGCGAAGACAATCAAAATTGAACAAAGAAGTATGAGATGGTGAGGCTCTGGCATAATGAGAAAGAGAAGATGTTGATCAGAAGATGGCGGATGGCCTTGGTTCGCCATGCCGTTAAAATTCTGAGGGAGAAAAGCTTCATTCACATAGAAGCCGTGAAGACACAGGCTTCAACCCTAACATTATCCATACGATGAGTTTTGATATCTTGCTACTCTCTCCACTTGTTCTTAATTTTATTTATAATAATAAAACAAATAACGATGCTTAAAAAAAAAAGTGAATGGTACAATGTTGATGGACCGGACTTTACACCCTCCATAAGCCCATTGTACCATTTTTGGATAATTGAAGTTTGTGAACAAAAAAAAACTCCTCATTAGGCTGAGTATAATATTGGGCTTAGTGGCATTCTGACTGTTGCTTGCAGCATGCACCCTAATCCAGGCTTTGCACCGCCTGTTGCATTCATGTTCTATTTTCTTGTTAATTAATTTACTTCAATTTTTATTTTAGCAATTATTTGTGTGATTTATTCATGATTTTGATTAATTTTCCACATGATAAAATTATGCAAAATAGTAGCATATTTTTTTAGAATTCTTTAGGACTTTTCTTTAGAATTTTATTAGAACTTTCTATTATTTTATGTTTAACAATCATTTTCATTATCATTTTAGTCAAGATTTCGTGATAGTAATGATGCAACTTTTGTGATGGGGAATGCTTGGAGGTTAATTATTTGATCACTCGCACGGAGCAGTTTCTATAGAGTTTTCTTATCGCTTGTGTGGCTCTAAAGAGGCAATGGACCTCCTCCGTTCGGTATCATTGTGACTTCGTTTTATTCCCCATTTTCGCACTTTACTGCTTTTCTAGAAATCATGAGAAACCGGGCTTTACCGCAAACCATATGCATCCTAACATTAGGTAGATTTCCCTCAAAATTCTAAATTTAGGTCTAACAACGCAGAATAAAATTAGGTTTAGAAATAGGCTAGTCTCCCTTTGACTTTTCTTCCCCTTTTGCATTTAGACTAAAAAACTACTTTTTCTTGCAAACCTCAAAATACTCAAAAAATTTACTGACGAGAATCATATCTTCGTTAAGTATGTGAGACGATAAGCGGGTTTCTTCTCGACCTTATTATTCTCTCATTACAAGCCTTGGCATGGTTCAAGTCTCAAAGACTCATTTCGCGAATAAGTAGAGAAATGGCTAAAATCTCTCTTTTGAGATTAACTAACTATTATTTACAAGCAAAAACACCAACAAACACAAACTCTTTTTACCTATGGGCATTTCATTCAAACTCTTTTCAAAAGAGCATGTTAATTCACTTCTGTGCTGACGCGTAAGTCTCCAAAGGTCGAGTTGCGGTAGAAGGCGAAATTAGTATTGTTCCTTAAAACAAACACAAACAAATTCAAACCTTTTTGGCCGCCCAAGCACATTTTCTCCAAAATCTTTTCAAAAGAACAAGTTAATTCACTTATATGCTGACGCGTAAGTCTCCAAAGGTCGAGTTGCGGCAGAAGGAGAAATTAATATTGTTCATTGAAAAATACAAACCAACAAAAACATTTAAAGTCGAACTACGGCTGCTCTGATTCCTTAAAAGGGATACGTAGGCATCGGGGTAGGGCCCGAACGAGCATAATATTTATTTTCCCTACATTTTTTCTCATTTCTTTTGCATGCATTCTCCCTTCACTAGTATAAGAGGCAGTAAGCATAGATTAAACACACCCATAAGATAGATAACAAGAGTGGATACCATAGAGTACTACGGGCGTGTGGGGTGCTAATACCTTCCCCTCGTGTAACAGACTCCCTTACCCTTATCTCTCGGTCGCAAGACCGTGACTTCTCCATTTTCAGGTTTTCTCGATGTCTACCTTTCCCTCCATATGGGATAAAAAATGTTCGATGGCAACGTCATTGTTTGATGATTGTTCATCCGGTTGTTTCACATACATGTGAATTTTCTAACTCCTAAACCAAGCTTCTATAAGCATATCAATCATAAACTTCAAAATAAGTCCAGGATCTTTGTTAATTCCTCTTCAAACTGATATGAAGGCTCACGGAAAATCTGTTGTTGCCTGCTAGAAATGGCACCCGAGACTATGTTATAACCTGCACCAGTTCAAAAAATCAGAAAATAAGTTCAGCAGAAATTAGAGAAAAAAACATAGGTACAGTTCAGGAATAAAGGTGCAGATCAGAAATAGTTCAGAAGCAGCTCGGAATTAGTTATCATAGTCCATATTTGGAGGGTTCATCAACATAAAATAAAATCAAGGAAGAAATAAGATTCAAGTTTGTTTGGGGAACTAAATCAATTCTTTAACAACCATAACAAACTTGATAACTGAATTCGTCCTAACTGTAACTACCCTAACAGGATTTGTCCATAACAGAACCAACTAGCTTTCGGTCTAATGGTTTCTAACAGAATCACTAACTAATCCTAAGCCTCATTTCAGTTCTCAAAAAATTGTATCAAACTTATAATTGAATCACAACCAACAAAATAACAGAACTCTAACAGAGCCAAACTAACACCTATAACTAACTAACTAATTTCTATAACTAACATCTAACTGATTTTTTTCCCAGCTCACCCCATAACTAACATAAAATAGAAACTAACTTGCCAGCTCAATAACAAAACTGTTCAGTCCTCTAAGGAGAAAAGAGAAAAAAGATTCACGATTTATTTACCAAAAATAGAGGAAAACGAGATATACAAAACTCACAAGAAGATTATCTAAAAAATCACTTCTTATGCTCTCTCTCGCTTCCATCCTTAACTTCCACCCTCATTCTCTGATCTCTCTTCTTTCTCTCCATAATCAAACCTTCACGAATCTCTACAAACCCGAAAACCGCATCACCATCATCGTCCATCATCATCTTTGTCAATTGTGTATAACCGTAACTGCATCTTCCTCATCTCAGCATCATCAACAATACTCTGCAATACGTACAACATCATCATCATCTGCGATCAGCTTTACGCCACAGTATCCCAACAATATTCAGAAACACAAGAAGCGCATAGAGAGAAGAAGAAGAAGAAGAAGGCAAAAGGGGATTTGTACCTGGCGATACAAAGACCTTTGGTTTTCTTGATGTGTCGCTATTGAAGCACCACCAGAGCAACTCCGATAAGTAAGTCTCATAACTTCAATCATCTTCTTCATATCCCTGCCTTATTTGAGTCTTCCTGAAACGAAATCGTAAGGTAGAGAACTCAAAGCCTCAACTATGGGTGTTTAATTTTGGTTTTTCATAAGAGTTAGGGTTTTTGCAGATGTGTTAGGTTTGGTAACATTGAGGTTTGATCGGAAGAGATGAGAGGAGATGAATAGATAAAGAGAATACATTTGTTCATGGTATGGTGGTCGGACGCAATCACGGCAAATTAGGATGGGAACAACGGCGTATTCGTTGAAGAAGAAGTGCAACGGAAAAGTTGGAAGAGGAATGAGACGGAAGGGAAGAGTGAGGCCCGTCAAAGTAAGACTGGTGGTTTGTTATTCGCGACGGTGAGACAAGATGAGAGGTAGATCCCGCGTCGTCGAAGAGAAGAAAGGAAGGGAATGATGTGTTCTCAAAGAGCTGGATCGCCACGATACCAAACCCTTATTCCCAATTCAATTTAATTTTTGTATTTTTATTTTCTTTTCTTTTTTTTGGTATTTTTTTTGTTTTAACTGTAATAAA